GAAAAAGTTAAAGCAGTGATCTTTGTAGAGTTCTGTATGCCAGTGCAAAAAATATTTGGAAGACAACTAATTCTAGTTTTTAAAGGAAAAGGAAAAGTAGAGATTGCTTCTGTCTTCAATTTGGGTATACCAAAGTCCAGTCAGCACTTCCAGTCCAGTGGCTTCAATAATTTTGCCAAGGGAATGAGATAATCTGTTATACAATAGTATGCATTTGGTTTGCTACAGATATGCTGTATGTTCCCTAAGGTAATTTGATTTACATTAGTACAACTTTAAAAAAAATGATGAAATGGATTGCTGCTTAAATTCTATAGTCCTACGTAGTGATTAACCCATTACACAAGTGTATGTTTTTATAAGCAGTAAAATCAATTTGCGTTAAAGTCTTGCATATATGTGTATGTCTCATCTTTTTTTTTTTCTTCTATCAGAATCCAGCAGGCTAAAGTACAAATCCTTCCTGAGCGAGTGCTGCCTTCCACCATGTCAGCAGTACAGCTGCAGTCTCTCAGCCGATGCCACGTATTTCCTTCTTCGAAGCCTACAGCGTGGCAGGACCGAGCCATACATCAGTGGTGGCAGAAATACCAGAAGGTTAGAAGCTAGTTGTGGGTTTGTTTGTTTGTTTTGTTTTGTTTTGTTTTTTAATTTTTGATGGTATTTTGAAAATCAATATAAAATTCTATCTGTTCATCTTTAGAGGAGGTGGTTTATCAGCTGTCCACAACGGGGAAATACATGATTTGTAATACGAGTTCTCTTTGGTTTTAATCATAGTATTATTAGATTATTATTGTTGCGTAATAATTGATGTAATATTACAGTTTAGGTTTTTTTTACATAACGAGAACACCTCAGAGAGAGTGCTGGTTGGTAAAGCTTCTAGATGGTGAAGTGTTGGGGAGAAAAAAAGAGTAAGTTGATAGTATTTTATTTGTAGGCAGGTCGAAGAAGCATCCTGACTTTTACTGATGTTGCTATGACAGTGGCAGTGCTCAGGCTTTGTTCTTGTGTTAATGGCTTGGGTTTGAAAGTAAGGAGGCTTTTGTAACTGTTTCTCACTGTTTGATTCAGCTGGAAGAGGTTTCTAAAGAGCAGGGGTGGTTTAGAGGTGACTCCCAAATTTCTGTGATGAAACAGAAGACCTGGAATGTCTTAGTTTGGAATCACAATTCTGTTTGCTAATTTTGCTTTAAAACCTGCATCAGTTAAAGGATTAACTTCTGCACCTGCAGTTACTTGTTTACAGAAAATGTAAATCTGCTTTCTTAATAAGTATGCAGACTTTAAGCTTCTTTAGAGAGCTTCCAGAATTTTATTTACCTGACTGTGGTTTAAAAAAAAAAACAACAACAACGCAACGAACAAAAAACAAACCCCAAAGAGTGGCAGAGGAGAAATAATCATTATCAAGATGTTGGTATTGCCATTAGGGAATTAGGTTCTAGTTTTGCATCACAGGCACAAATTCTGTCTTTGCTTGTTTACACTGGTTTTGCATCACTGCAGCTGTGACAGTACTTGGAATCAGGGGGGAATTCACACTAAGATTGTAGGGCAGAATTTTCAGGAGTCTTAAGCAGCTGATATCAGGCCTAAGCTACAAACTTCAGCATTGCTCAGGGGAATAATAAGGTGTGATTTGTGCTGGAGACAGCTGTGCTGTTTAAAAGGTGCTAAAAGATGCATTTATACAAGTGAATGTGCACTTTTACCAGTATCCAGCGTTTTCCTTTAGGAGTCTGAAATAAAATGTGCTGTCAAAAGGCTAATTTTGCTGGGATAAATTATGTTCCCATAATAAGCACCATGCTAGCGTCTTGTACTAGCACAGTTATACCAGCAAAAGCTTTTCAAATGGAAACCAAGCACATTTTCAGGCAGTGCAGGCTTTTCCAAGACCAGCTACCACCAACAGGGGACAAACACGCCCAGTGAGGTTAATGGGACAGGAGTTAGCACTGAGGTCAGTAGGAGAGGATGTGGGAAAACTGGGCAACCTGACACTTCTGAGAACACTACAATTGTGGCTTATTTATTTATTTATTATTTAACCCACTGTTTCAGTCAGTGGCCTGTAAAAGGAAAGATGCCTTGAAGTCTTCTGTGTCAGCAGAGATCTTTGGAACTACCTCCAGAAATTAATATAGAATCCTAGTAACTCGCCTCATTGTCAGATGCAGTTGAGGTTTGGATTTTTCTCCAATGGTTTTGAAGTCTGTACTCCCCACAAAAAAAAAAATCAAAAAAACCCCACCTCAAATAGCTATTGATTCTCAGAGTTCTTGAACAAGTTCATCTATGAGTTAACAAGCCCAGAAACACTATGCTTGGGGAGAGGGGGGCAGAAATCCCTTTCCAAGACTGGTTCTATCCCATGATAGCTGAAATGCAGTGCAGCTGCTGTAAGAAGAACATGTTTTGTGGACTGAGATGCAGATGCAGCGCAGGGGCATGGTCCTGTTGACCCTCTATTGATGTCAGCAGAACTGTGACTGATTCCACTATGACAGGCTGTACCTCTGTATGTTTACTTATGTAAGGAGAAACATCAGAAACTGGAAATTGCATTTTAAGAAAGGTTTCTGCCCCATCCAAGAGCTGACCTGTGTCAGCCGTTACAGAAAATACACTTGCTAATTAAAACAGTAACTTGAATTTTGTTGGTCGTGAATTCTTTCTTCAAAGTACCATTTATTTGCTGTGAATTTTGGTCTCTGTTGCCTGATTCTTCTCATTTGTGAAATAAGGATAGTTACCCTCAAAGGGAAGATCAAATTTCATTTGTAAGTATTTACAGTACAGTTTGAGATGCTCTTTTGGAAAGCTTTGTGGTTTTTGGATTTTTATTAACCTAAACATAAGTGTAAGTGTTGTGAAGTTGCTTTAGAGAATTGGTTAAGTACACAAATAACCTTACACTGCTGGAAATTTGATGGTTAAGGAGTGCAGTTATAGTCTGGATTTCTTGTCTGCAGGGTACATACAAGCTAAAGATTTTTTTAAAGGTGATGTTGGTGGCCTCTTGTATTTTGTTCCTCCAAATCTGCTCTGTATTGTTGTATAGATATTTTTCGTGCACAATTCAAGTGAACATGTTAGTCTTGTTCACAGTGAAGTGCGATACAGCAGCGTGGGCCACTCCTGTTAGTAAAATTTTAATTTTGGAAGAATACCCTTCAATAAAAAATGGTTATGAGACCTTCAGGTTGGTTTTTTTATCTATTGTTTTTGTTTTCCTCCTCCACACTTGGTTTTTACTCAGTGTTCTATTTGGGTCTGAGTTTTTCTTCATAGGATGTTTTTAAATGGTTATTGTACAATATTTTGTTCACTGTCATTGGATAGTCATAATAAAGCTGTTTAATAGCTTTTCAGTAGGCTGGCACAAGCATTGATGTTCAGTAAACATTTCTGAAAATGTGATTTCCCTTAAAAATAGATGCCGGAATGAGAGTGGATAGCAATATACAATTAAACAGCAGGACTGCCCAAGTTTTCTTAATCAGTAACTGTTCTGCTGTGAGAAATCATCCTCTGAAACTCCTAACTTGGTGGTTTTAGTTATGGATTAGTTTGCCATTTAAAAAATACCATCACAGCTTAAAATACCTGATATGGCCCATTAATATCCTTCTTTCATTTTATTTACCTGTGCAGTTGACTAAATTGCTACGAATAGTTTAATCACCTCACATAGTGGTTTGCTGTGGTTGCTGAAGTGGCAACAATTGGTGGAAGCTAAGGAAATGTGCTGTCTGATAGTACTTAATTTTTCTGAGCTGTCTAAATTTCAGATAGATACTCTTTTGAAAGGCATAATTTCTTATTACTAAACATTAGAAATACTTGTAGTGCTGAGAGATTTTTCTGAGAAAATCCATGTATTGTCTGTCTTGTACAGAAGTCTTAGCTCTCAATGAATTTGAGGAGTGGTTTGGAAGCTTCATGTTGAAGTACTGGTCCTGATGGTCGTAATTTGTTGTATTTTTAAATAATCAGGTATCTCTTCTCTATTTGTTTAAACAAGAACCGTCCCTAAAATCCGCTAATGTTAAAGACTAAATATTTGTGGTTTTGGTTTTAGAGGAAGTTCCACTGTGCAAGTTTGACATCTTGGCCTCCCTGGCTCTACTCTCTATATGATGCAGTAAGTTCACCCTATGTATTACTAAATAATCTACAATTAGGTTTACATGTTTTAATATTATTGAATAATGTGAAGGCTTTAATTGTGTTGGATCATAAGTTACCCTTTAAAGAAGGGTATAGTTTTCAGTTTACTGTTAAAAGAGCAGGAAGGACTTCCCCATCTGTATATTTGTTCCCTCGTGGTAGAGCACGTGTCTGGGGTGGATAACAGAGGTTGGGGTTCCTGCTGTGTTGTCTCAGACCAAAAACTCAATCCTCTGTCCCACATGCTCCAGGTGAATGCCCTAACCACCAGGGTGCTGGATAGTCTTAGGTCTGTCTTTCCTGTTGGAGTTGGTTTACTCTTTAAAAAAGTACATATTTCTTTATATACATATGCATATTAGTGCATAAAGTAGTTGGTGTAAGAGAGGCAGAAGCAGGGAGGGGGCTAGCCCTCATCTCCTGTGTGCAGTTCGACAGTTTGAACAGTTGTCTCCTTATCTCAAATGAGGGTTATAACCACCATGGGCCATTGGCTCGTTCTGGCCCACTTCCCATCCCTGTCTTGCTCTTAGTATAAATATGAAGATAGAGAATGAGTCTGTAATCATTGTAAGTCTTAAAAGCTAATGTCCACTTAGGGAAAATAGCTTACTCTACATTTTGCTTCCCTTTTTTTTTTTTCTTTTCCTAAGAAAACAGAAATACCTGTGTATTTAAATTAGGCTTTTCTTCTAACAAAAGGAAACCTTGATGGAAAGAGTCAAGAGGCAGCTACATGAATGGGATGAAAATCTTAAAGATGAATCTCTTCCAACAAACCCAATAGGTATGACATTGTTTAGCTTATGAACTCTTTTTTTTTTTTTTTTTTTTTAAAGTTTCCTAAGAAAACAAAACTGAAGATTTCTTGGCAGTCTGTCCCTCACTTCCAGTTTCCAATAAGTTTTGGTGATTGACTTTGACAAAAGGATGATGGAGCTTTTAAAGACATAAACATCCTCCAACCATGTGGAAACATGTTCAGTAAGAGAAATAGAACTCCATTGTGCTCCATGGCAGGAGGAATGTGATCTAAGTGTTTTGTAAGAAAACAAGAGCCAAAAGCATACTAGATTTTTGAAATTATTTTTTGTAAGTCTAAGTGTTAGTATGTATAACTTCTTATTACCTCTTATCAGGCATGAGGGAAAATAGCACCAGTAACCTAATGGCACAAATGTTGGGATCAGATTTCATGCCTTAGCAGGCACTGGGGGTGTGCCCCAGTGAACAAGTCTCTTCTCTCTGCAGGTCTCTAGTATCTAATAAGATGGAAATTTTAGTTGAAGCCTTTCTAAGGGGAGAAACATTTTTTCCTGTGTTGACTCTCAACTGCCTAATAAGGGGGAAATTCAAACTGCAGCCTTCAGTTAAAGTCAGTTAAGCACCAAATGCAGGTCTGGGCTCAATCGTTTGGATGTCTGTGCAACTCTGGTTTCTGATTTGCTTGAAGTAGTGGTTGAAAGTACTTCCCATCTGCTTTGCCCAGACTGCTGCTTAGAGGACTGTGAAATAATCTGAAAAAAATCCACGGGTTTTTTGGCACTTCTTTTCTCATGATTCACAACACACTGATATTTTGCTGACTTAAGTTTTCAGCTTTTGAATTCTTTTACAGACCGAGGAACGGGATGATTTGCATCTTAACAAGGTTTTCGTTAGTTAAATTAAAGAATGACTGTAGTGAGGTCCACTACCTTTTGTGCTGGTGCCTTTTCATACCTGATTGAAGTTACTGCCTGAGAATTTATTATCATATTAAAACTTACTCTAAAAACAAAGTCTGTCATCTTGACTGAATATTTTTGATCTAATTTCATCTGCATTCAAATGTGGGAAAAAAACTCTAAAACCTCCAGAAGGGAGTGTATACAGAGTATGTCTTTTTCCTTCTCACAATGTAACAGTAAAGAAAGCTTTTTTTAGCACTAACATGAGTAGTGTAACTTGGTTGTAATTTATGAAGGAGGTGCTTTCTTGAAGTTTCCCTTCTCTCATAAAAGCATGTCTTTTTTTACAAAAAAAAAAAAAAAGAGGAAGTGCAAGCATAAAGATAACCACTGCTGGTTGGAAAACTCAGTAATTCACTGTCAAAGTGGAAGTCTGTGTTAGACAATGTTCTCCAGGAGGCTGTTGGTTTTGGAATACGTGACCTTACTGGCATAGTTCAGTCTCCATCACTGGTGATCTGCAAGTGTGTGTTAGACAAATATCTTAGAAGAGGCTTTGTGTGTACATGATCCAGCCTCAGGGCAGAAGGATGGACCAAGATGACCTCTAAAAGTTTGTTATAAAGCTTTAGCCCTCTCTGTCTGTAACTGAATAGAAGTGGTAGGATCTATTTCTCTCTAAAATTCTAACAGGCCTGGTACTTCTCATTTCTAGATTTTTCTTACAGAGTTGCTGCCTGCCTGCCAATTGATGACGCACTACGTATACAGTTGCTTAAAATAGGTAGTGCTGTTCAGCGACTCCGGTGTGAGTTAGATATTATGAACAAAGTGAGTATTTTTTCTTTATTTGTCATTAAATTGTTCTCAAAAAAATAGGAGGGATTGTTACTATCTATTACAAAAACGTATGAAACTTCCAAATAATACTTCTAGAGGGTGAATTTGGGTGCTGTCTTATTTATTCCTTCTCCTTTAAAAGTTTGCTCAAAAAAAAATATGCTCTCTCCATACTAGACTTTGTTTGGCAGCAGGCAAGAAACAGATAATAATATTTGCTTTGGTTAGAAGTCATGTTTCAATACCTCACAGCACTTTTTTGGTCAAGAGATGGTGCTAGAAGTCCAGTGTTGCTCATAACCATCTTTTGAACATCATAACCCCATATCGACAGCATAGTACACTGCAGTCAGGTAGTGTTCTGCCATGAAAACTTGTGGATGTTGTAATAAAAGATAAATCTGTGTAGTATTGGACTGAAAGGATTTTTGCAAAAGACATGTATTGACTCGTTAGGGGACACCTTTTTAAGATGTTCAAAAACTCCTCTTCCCTTCTTTCCATTGACCTGGCTGTGTAGTGCTGTAGATGTAGGACATTAAAGTTTTGCTTTTACATAGTACATTTCTTAAATAATATTAGTTATAGTATTTATTATTATTATTACTGATAAAGCCACTAAGTATCAATCAGCCTCATGTTGAACACAACTGTTTTAGGAACAGCATTTGCAACAACATCTCCAACAGCAGTTCAGATCACTATGCTCTTTCCAAAGAGAAGATGCTGGAAGAGCCATTGGTATAAACACAAGTTTCATCTGTAAACTTGCTGGTGTGTTTGATAGTGGCAGCTGGAATATTTACTATTCAATTTTTGAATGGAGAGACAAATTAATATTTTGTTAATACATTCATATCAGAAAGAATAGCTATGTACATCCTGATGGACCCTCACCTTGCTGGTTTTAAATTTGGTGGGGATACTGAAGTACTGTCTCAAACATTAGTATGGCATAACGTTGTATATTTTCTGTAAATCCCAGAGACAAGAGGACTTAAGTTACCCTTATAAAATATAAGACAAAGTTGATTTTTAGCCTATACCAAAAAGGCATTTTCCTCATCAACATGTGACATTTTATTCTGCAAACTTGTTTAACTGATCTGTATTAGTGTGAGAATGGTAAGTGCACTATGGGTTTTTTAGCAACATTTATTTTGGTCAAATACACTCTTTTTAAACCAGGGCTCTTCAATGACAAGGAGCACTCTGGCAACACAGCACATATTTTGGTTTTCTTGAGAAGGATGAACTTAGCACATTTCATTGTTCAGGATGTGATTTACAGTACTGTAACTGATTGTAAGACATGATCCATTTTCTTTCATTTTTGATATCAGGGACTTGTTTTGTACTTTTAATAGCTTCTTCTGTTATTGAAAACCAGTTGACTATTTCTGTGCTTATTTTTAAAGGAATGTACATCACTCACAGGTGTAACACTTCTGTGAATCCTGCTTGAGAATGCTCATTGTAGTAATTAAATAGGTTTGGAAAGGGAAGAATTAAATTAAGAAGCTGTCTGAACTGGATTCTTAGAGGGGAAACGTGAGCATTAGATGATAATCTGTGAGTAAGGGTGATTTAAAAGAGTGAGCATTAAAGAGTAGAATCATAGAATGGTTAGGGCTGGAAGGGACCTTCAAAGGTCATCTAGTCCAACCCCCCTGCAAGGAACAGGGATATCTCCAACTAGATCAGGTTGCTCAGGGCCTCGTCCAACCTGGCCTTGAACGTCTCCAGGGATGGAGCATCCACCACCTCTCTGGGCAACCTGTTCCAGTGTTCTACCACTCTCATGGTAAAAAATTTTTTCCTAATATCCAACCTGAATCTACCTCCCTCTATTTTAAAACCATTACCCCTTGTCCTATCACAACTGGCCCTCCTGAACAGCCTCTCCCCATCTTTCTTGTAGGCCCCCTTGAGGTACTGGAAGACCGCTATAAGGTCACCCGGAGCCTCCTCTTCTCCAGGCTGAACAGCCCCAACTCTTTCAGCCTGTCCTCATAGGAAAGGTGCTCCAGCCCTCTTATCATCTTCGTGGCCCTCCTCTGGACCCTCTCCAGCTGGTCCATGTCCTTCTTGTGTTGGGGGCTCCAGAGTAGGCATTAAAGAGAGAGGCCAAGTGAGCTTTGGGGAGGGAAGAGAACTGGTGTACAGTAAATAGTATCTGTATAGCAGAGCAATTTTCCTCCCTTGGTGTCTAAGATCAGTAGACAGTGTGCTGGAGGTGGGAGGCAGAACTCAGACAGCCCAGAGCATCTGAGTAGAGGAAAGGAGAGAGTAAAGGCTGGAGTAAGTACGTAGTGTAGTACCGTACGAGTGAAGGGCAGGAGTCAGAGCTCAGGGAGACTCAGAGACACCAGCTGGGATTTACTCCAAGTTTTACAAGGAAACGTGCTCACAGAGGGACTTGTCCAAGTGAAGTTCCTAGGCACAGCGTTTTGTTCAGAAATATAGTGGATCATTTTTGGGGTAATTTCATACACATTACCCTTAAAAAGAGGTGAAAGTAATGCACCTCCTGAAAATTAATAGTGCTGTTCTACTAAGCTGATTTCAGTGCTTGTTTTCTGGGCAATGTCAGTGACGAATTGTTCCATTCTACTTTCTAGAAATTGTAGGAGATAGATTAATCTGTTATAATCTTTAAGAGAAAGATCAATACATCTCAGATTTTTTCCATGAGGAAATTAAAACCACCAATCTACAGCATTCTCAAATTTTAGAAAAACTTAATGGTTGCATTTGTACTCTTCTGCCTTTTCTGTGTTATATCTTAGAATAGCAAAGGTGGTTTTTCTGAATTAGCTTTTAAAGACCATAGAAGATTGACTCATTTATTATCTTTCTGTAGTCAGATCCTCTTCTGTGTGTAGATTTTTTTTCAGGAGAGGGGGCGGAAATATATTAAAAATGTTTTGTCTGTTAGATAACAATTAATGTTTACCATAAAAAAATAAAATGCACAGAAAACTTTTTATCCTTTGGTGGAAAGAATAAAAAAAAAAGTCTTTGCTGCCTAGACAAAAAAAGAATTGGTACAAAGTCTATTCTGAGGGAAGGGGAGAGACATTTTTATTATTTGCCACTGTGCTGACAAACATCTGGAAATGAATGAAATGACCCTCTTTGTTTTTCTTTTCAAGTGTACATCTCTTTGTTGTAAGCAATGCCAAGATACAGAAATAACTACCAAGAATGAAATATTCAGGTGAGTTTATTGCTCTTAATCTCTGGGAGGTTCTTGATCAGAAACATTGGCACAGCAAAACAGGTTAAGCCAGGACATGTCGTGTAACTATTGTGTTTCCACAGCTCTGATAAAATTTAAGTAAATATTTATAGAGGATTTATTTATAACACTGGCCACTTAAATTTCTGCAATTCCAAGAAAATTTGACCAATTGATATTTTACATTAGTATCTGTTTTCTTTCAAGTTTTAATAATATAATTAAAGGTCCTTTTTTTTTTTCCTCCAGCCTAAAGTGGGTGGTTCTTTTGCTGTGGAAAATAGTTTTAAGCATGTTTGTCACTTTTTCCTCTGTTCACATCTTTCAACCTTTGGTTTTTGTTTCTTCTTTGAACTCTGACAAACTTATTAATTGTCTGTTGTAGTTTATCCCTATGTGGACCCATGGCAGCATATGTGAATCCTCATGGGTACATCCATGAGACCCTCACTGTATATAAAGCCTGCAACTTGAATCTCAGTGGACGGCCATCGACAGAGCACAGCTGGTTTCCAGGGTAATGACAGTTAAGAAAATTTTATTAGTAAATGAGAGAAGTTCAGTTGTAAACGTATTCCTGTGACGGTGGAATAGTAAATGTGAAATTCTTGAAACACATGCCGTCATTTGGCTCATATGAAAAGTAGGAAAATAAATTTAGACTTTTCAAAATGCAGAATAAAGTGGAAAATTCAGATAGAGTATTTTCAGAACTTCTCTGGAGTTTTTCAAGTATATGCAAATATTAAGATTTTAAAACACAGCGTAGCATCTGAGAGATAAACAGGATACTGATTGTCTGGGAGTTTCTTTGTGTGTAGTTTTGTATAAGCCACAACTAAAATCATAATTGTTGTTTCCACGCAGCTTGCTTTCATCATAAAAGTAAATAAAGTGCAAATGGAAAACGTAATATATAAATGCAGTTCTTCTGCTGAGATACTTCTTGTAGATTTAAAAACTGAATAAATGTTAAATTAATTTAAAAATCACTAACGTATTGATCTGATTACCTTTGTGACTTTTATTTTTTATTTAATTTTACACTCTGTAACAGTAGCAGAATTAACCGTCAAGATCTAGAAGTCTGCCAAATAATGAAGGATCTTGCATCAAAATGTCACTCCTCCCTGATAGCTTAAATGTACATTTTTTTTTTAGCTAGACAAGCATGTTCAGGCGCTCATTCAAAGCTTCGAATATTTAACTCTTGAAAATAGCTCAAATGTCAAACTATATTTAAATTTTAGTTTCACACAAATATTCTTTATAGCTTCACAAGAATATTCTTTAAATCCATTTTTACCAGATCACTTTTCTGTGTGGTCTTTTCTCTGCCAGTGTCAAAAATCATTCTTCTGTCCCTTCGACTCTCATGTCCTCTTCTAAAGCAGCATAAAATAATATATTGCTATATTTGTAGCCAGTTCCAGGTTCCTGACTGATGCATTTTCACATTTACTTGTGCATTTTCTCGTGTTGTTTGTAGAGTTTTTTTCTGGATTGTCACATAGCACTGAGCAATGACTTGGAGGGGGTGTGCCATATCTGTCCCAAGACACACACACCCATCCTTAGGTGTTTTCTTTTCTTCTCCGAAGGTTTTGAAATATTCATGTTCTACCTTTTGAAACGGTTAAACAACAGCTCCGTTGCTGTGGAAAGTGGAGTTCCCTGTTAATCTAGGAGAAGGGCAAAAATTACTCTTATTTCTATTAAGAAACTTACTCTGAGAACCATTTTCTGACCCTTCTTTAAGGCAGCAGAGTTTCATCGTACTGTTGAAAAGCCGTGCTAACGCAATGGTTTAGTTGCTTCCTCTGCTTGAAGGCTGTTTGGTTTTTTTTTCCTAATTGTGGTTTGTTTTTTTTTTTAAGATCTGCAGAGTTTTTAAATGGGAGCTGGGCACCTTGATTCCCAAAGATTATTTGAATATCTAGCTGGAGACTCGTATTCCCTTCTTACCTGATGAGTGAGCTATGCTCCAGCATTTTAAAAACATCTTTTCCTTACATGTTAGCATCAACCTTTTGTTTTGTTTTTCCATAGGTACGCCTGGACTATAGCCCAGTGCAGAATCTGTGGCAACCATATGGGTTGGAAGTTCACAGCTACCAGAAAGGATATGTCACCTCAAAAATTCTGGGGATTGACCCGGTCTGCTCTCCTGCCTCGCATTCCAGAAGCAGAGGACGACTCAGGCCACAATAGATCACCGTTGCTCTGCCTGTAATTTAGCAGCCTGCTTTGGAGATGAGCAGGCAGTAGTGTATCTCCTAAATGCATCTGCTCAGTTCTGCTTCTGATGCTTACTTAAACTTTAAAAACCCGAGTACCCACACCCCCCCCTCCCCTCAAACCAAGCAAACAAGCAGGCTCCCCACGTCTGGGTTTGGTGTGCACCCACATCACTGTTGTTTCAGACACGCTGAGAACTGAAGGTTGAATCTTTAAAAGGGCAACTGGGGAGAGGAGGTGGTGTGAGGCACCAAGAAATCGATCTGATCCGTCTGGACAGACTTGAGACTGAACTTTCTCCTTCCTTGTATAATTTCAGAAAATGTTTACTGCTATCAACTTGCAGTGAAAGAAGATAGGGGGGAATCTAAAATTACCAATAAACAGAGTATAATTTATGCAATATATCTTTGATGGTAAGATACCAGTTACTTGCTGCAGAGTATTTTCCATAATATACTTAAAAGTGTTTTTGCTGAGAATCCCTGTTTCTAACTGTGTGGAACACTTCCAATTTTGTGCTTGTGCTGTTTCTCAGATACTCGCTGAGTAACCATCGAAGAGAGTCCAAGGCTGAAGTTATCTCTTCTGGCTGGTACCGTGTTGGTAAGGTCAGCAGCAGTGTGGTGACTGGCAAAGGCAAGAATTGCTGCTGCCTGCAGCTGGAGCAGTGGCATCACAGGATGCCCTTTTAAAGGAGCCCGTGTGAAGTATTCGGTCCTTGCAAATGGTCTGATCTATTTAGTCTGTTTGACTTGAGAAGTCTTAGATTTTAAACTATTTATATAAAATATATAGATCAGTCCCAGAATGTTAACTGCATTGTCATTTACTGTTGAATGTGCTCGTATTTACTTTTCAGAATTATTTCTGTGAAGACTAGTTTACCAGCCTATATGTCCAGGGTTCTATGAAGTACTCTCTAAAATACGTAACTGTGGAGATTTTCCAATAGTAGTTATTTGGACAAGAAGGAGGCAACATCTCTTCAAATTTTTTTTTTTTTCTTTTAGGCTTTCATATCATAAAGTAAAATTTCACTTTATCACCCTACAAAGAGCAAAAGTTTCTAAATAAAACAAATAAAAGGCAGTGCTTTTTTTATTTTTTTTGTCTGAAGTGCTGTCTGCTACAGAAATCAGATACCAAAATGGGGCAGCTTTTGCCACAGATTTATTGTTTGTTTTTTTTTCTTCTCTCGGAATGCACTTTGGTGATGGGAACTGAAGATTCCTTCAGCATGTTTGTGTACATAGAGACTGGTTTTTTCTTTTGAAGCTTTATCGTTCACTCTGTGTTTCTTCACAGTAAATCTTTGAGAACTCGCGCTGTTAAATATGACGACACAAAACTACTCAAGATTTAAGACATCAGCCTCTACTTGCTCGTTCTCAATCACAGTCCCCCATCCCACCGATGTAGCATGGACAGGTTACTCCAGTGGAAGGCTGTGTCAGACCCCTCTACAAGACAAATAGCTGATGTAGGTGGTAACGTGGTACCTGCTACAGTGCAGCGGAAAAATACCCAGCTGTGAAAAGATGCTAGATGCTGAAAGGCTGCTAGGATAGTTTGTTTAAGCTAGGTATGTAGAAACTAATGATTGTGTAACTCAGGTTTAGTTCTTTGAAGCCTTCTACCTCTGTGCTTCTGTGATAACTTCTGTTCTCTCCATAGGCATTTTTAAATCCGTATTTAGTTTTGTGTGCAGTGCTCTGAGTTGCCAGTGAACTGTGAAAAGCAATACTTCTTTGAATATAATTCTGAACAAATAGAGGGTGAACGGTGGCTCATTTTCTTCACGGAAACATTTCTGTGTTTTGATTATGCTTCTATAATAAGCTTTCAAAAGGCTGAAGTGATAAACACTAGTGTGAGAGACTGTGAAACCTCTGTGCTTGGATAACCACTGAAATCCGACCCCGCTTTCCCCTCGCACGCTGCACGTGCACACACACCACACACACGTGTGTGCAC